GGATAATCAAAAAATGATTGTGACAGAAAAGGCCTTTGGTGCTACATGAGCACATGGAGGCCACTCAGTGAGAGAGAAACTGTTTCTGTGGAGAATGGACTGCGGTGACACAGAATAAACCTGGGAATTAGTGAATTTCCTCTGCAGGATAAAGCACAGGGGAGTGCACAGCACCCCTGTCACCTGAGGATGGGGGACACCCGGAGACACGCCAGAGAGGAGGCGGTAGGGCAGAGCTGGGGGAAAGCTCTGGAAAGGTCAGAGCCTGGGTTGATCCTGGTCAATTTCTGACTTGTTTCTGCTCACCTCTATCAGAGCTGCTCATAATGTTTCCTTTTCTCAGACCCTAGGGCTTAAGTGAGGAGTTGTTATTTAACCAGAGATCAGGGTGCACAGGACAAGCACCTGTGTTAAAAGGTGCTGTATCCTAGAACCACGGGGGACACACAGAGGTTTCACTCCATCAAATAAACTCTTTTTGATTGGTGTAAATACAGGATTTGATGAAAAGAGTCCTGAGTTCAAATAACAGAATTCGATAGCAAAACATAGATACAACGGTTTATTTAGTTTTTGAGATAAGGTCACCCTCTGTTGCCCAGACTGGAGTGCAGTAGCATAGTCATGGCTCACTGCAACCATGACCTTCCAGGTTCAAGTGATCCTCCCACCTTAGCTTCCTGAGTACCTGGGACTATAGGCGTTGTCACCACACCTGGCCAATTTGTGTGTGTCTGTGTGGAGATGGGGAGGTCTCCCTATGTTGCCTAGGCTGGTCTCGAACTCCTGACCTCAGGTGATCCGCCCACCTCCACCTCCTAAAGTGCTGGGATTACAGGCATAAGCCACCAAGCCCAGCCCAGCCCTGAATTCTTAAAATTATCTGTAGCGCATGTGAATAGAGTTTCTGAACTGTACAAGGACTTTAAAGTCATCATCGGCATTCACCTGAGAATCTTGTAGCAGAGTTAGGCTTTTGCAGGAATCTCAGCCAGCCAGTAAATATTCACTCGGTGCTGACTCTTTTCCAGGCCCTGAGCTGTATGCAAAGATGCAGATTCTCTAGGAGTTGTCACTATCCCACTAACTATGATCATTTGAATAGAAGGTGCCTGGGGGTGAAGGGTCATCTACTCCAATATCTAATTCACAGAATGCCTACTCCCCGCCCATCTGGCACCAACCCCATAGGCACTCCAAGCCATGGTTGCCAATCCTCTCTGAGCAACACTTGAGAAACCTAGTCCCTGATAAACAGCAGCAGAAAGCTATACTGCAAACCAAGCTAAATATCAATTGCAGATGTAAATTTTCCAGTTGTCTGACAATGAAAAAAATACAATGTAAATAATAGCAGGAATGTGCCAGGGGTCTTGGCTTATGCCTGTAACCCCAGCACATTGGGAGGCTGAGGTGGGTGGATCACTTGAGGTCAGGAGGTCCAGATCAGCCTGGTTAACATGGAGAAACCCGGTCTCTACTAAAAAAAATTAAAAAATTAGCTGAGCATGGTGGCATGTGCCTGTAATCCCAGTTACTCAGGAGGCTGAGGCCAGTAATCACTTGAACTCAGGAAGCAGAGGTTGCAATGAGCTGAGATTGTGCCACTGCACTCCAGCCTGGGTGACAGAGTGAGACCCTGTTTCCAAAAAATAAGTCAATAATAAATAATACCAAGAGTTAAGAGCTTTTAAAACCATATATGTGAGGCTAGGTGTGTTGGTTTATTCCTGTAATCCCAGCACTTTGGGAGGCCAAGGTGGGTGGATCACCTGAGGTCAGGAGTTTTAGACCAGACTGGCCTACATGGCGAAATCCTATCTCTACTAAAAATACAAAAATTAGCCAGGCATCATGGCGGGTGCCTGTAATCTCAGCTACCCAGGAGGCTGAGGCAGGAAAACTACTTGAGCCCAGGATTGAGATGTTGCAGTGAGTTGAGATTGTGCTATTGCACTCCAGCCTGCACAAGAGCAAGACTCCATCTCAAAAACAACAAAATAATAGGCCGGGTGCAATGGCCTCTAATCCCAACGCTTTGGGAGGCCTAGGCAGGCGAATCACAAGGTCAGGAATTTGAGAACACCCTGACCAACATGGTGAAATGCAGTTTCTACTAAAAATACATAAAAATTAGTCTGGCATGGTGGTGTGCAACTGGAATCCCAGATACTCGGGAGACGGAGGCAGAAGAATCACTTGAACCCAGGAAGCAGAAGTTACAGTGAGCCGAGATCGTGCCACTGCACTCCAGCCCAGGTGACAGAAGATCAGGAGTTCAAGACCTGCCTGGCCAGCTTGGTGGTGGGCACCTGTAGTTCCAGGTACTCTGGAGGCTAAGGCAGGAGAATCACTTGAACCTGGGAGGTGGAGGTTGCAGTGAACCAGAATCACACCACCACACTCCAGCCTGGGTGACAGACCAAGACTTTGTCTCAAAAATAATTTTTTTTTCTTGGAGACAAGATCTCATTATGTTTCCCAGGCTGGTCTTGAACTCCTGATCTCAAGGGATCCTCCTCCCTTAGCCTCCCAAAGTGCTGGAAGTGCAGGTATGAGCCCTCATGCCCAGCCAAGAGAAACATTTTTAAAATGAAATGTTATCTATTAATCACCAAGGAGTTAGAATTATTTTCATATATAGCTGGAAAATATGGTGTTTCTTTAAAAAAAAAAAAGTGTTTTGTTTTCTCTAGATACCTTTTTAATTTTATTTGAGACAGAGTCTTGCTCTGTCACCCGGGTTGGAGTGCAGTGACATAATCTCAACTCATTGCAACCTCTGCCTCCCAGGTTCAAGTGATTCTTCTGCCTCAGCCTCCCAAGTAGCTAGGACTACAGGCAAGAGCCACCATGCCGGGCTAATTTTTGCATTTTTAATAGAGACAGAGTTTCGCCATATTGGCCAAGCTGGTCTTGAAATCCTGACCTCATGATCCACCCACCTCGGCCTCCCAAAGTGCTGGGATTACAGGTGTGAACCATCACGCCCTGCCAACCAACGAGATTTTTATTGATCAGTGGAGAGGTGTGCACAAGGCATCACCAGCCACATGTCAATAGAATCTGGCAGCTCCTCGGAAGGTTCCAAAGTTGGTCTTAGAGGTAATGAGCCTACCTGCTTGTGAATACCATGCAAACCTCTTTGAATTCCTCCAGAATCATGTTCCTGTATAAACCATTTCCATTTTATTCCAGAGTCAGCTCTTCTAGGCAGTAGCTTCCTCATTAGTGTTTCTCTGACATCACCCAAGACATCATGGGTATGTCAGATCTAAGAATATTTAATGTCCTTCAGTCACAGGAGGAGTTTCAATTAATGCCCAAAAAATAGTAACCCAATAATTGTCTCTGAAGTGACACATACCATACTGTCACATCTGGAAATTTTCTGGTCCAAAATTTAAGTGCTCACCATTAGGCAGCATTCGTGAGCTTTTACCATAGACTCTAGTCTGTGGAAATGCAATTTCAGACACAGGTGCCCCTGGGTATCTGTGGGGAATTAGTTATAGGACCCTGCCCTAAAGGGATACTAAAATCTCAAGGGGCTGAAGTATTTTTTTTTAATGACATAGTATTTGCATATAACCCATGCACATCCTTCTCTAGGTGTTTTTGTCTGATTGTTTTTTGAGAGGGAGTCTTGCTCTGTCACCTAGGCTGGAGTGCAGGGGTATGATCCTGGCTAACTGCAATCTCCGCCTCCCGGGTTCCAGTGATTCTACTGCTTCAGTCTCCCAAGTACCTGGGACTACAGGTGCCTGCCACCGCGCCTGGCTAATTTTGTATTTTTAGTAGCAATAGAGTTTCACCATGTAGTCCAGGCTGGTCTTAAACTCCTGGCTTCAAATGATCAGCCGGCCTAGGCATCCCAAAGTGTTGGGATTGCAGGCATGAGCCACCGCATCTGGTCTAAGATTTTTATTTATTTATTTATTTATTTATGAGACAGGGTCTTGCTCTGTCACCATACTGGATTGTAGTGGCACGATCTTGACTCACTGCAGCCTCCTGGGTTCAAGCAATTTCTCCGCTTCAGCCTCCTGAGTAGCTGGTACTATGGGCCCATGCCACCATGCCTGGCTAATTTTTATTTTTTACATTTGCTCTGGAAAATCTTACCTGACAAGAAACCGAAGTGGCACTCAGGGGATCAGAGGAACACACTTTATTACACCGGCGGGCCCAGAGGGGTTCGCACCCAAAAGTCTGGACCCCGGCTAAGAAAAGTACAAAATTTTTATAGGTAAAGGGGTAGGGGAAGTAACTCAGAACTTTAGACAATGCAGCAGGTTTTAGACAACGAGGGAGTTTCTCTTAAGGTTTTCCAGTTAGTAAGCAGTAAGCTGAGGTACAGAAGCAGAAAGAGGCAGTTACTAACAAAAATAGGGACGGTTTCAAAAATAGGGAGGGTTGCTGACAACACGCTGACAAAATCCTGGGCAAAATTTCCACTTCATTCCCCCCTTTGATGCTCCCTTATGGATATGAGGGAGCATCACCTTCTACACCATAGTGTCTGTACTTAGTGGCTTGTGCACTCGGAGGGCTAGTAACTGTGTATTTGTTTTCCTAATTACGGTGACTTCAATGAAGCTTCAGAGCATGTTAATTAAGCAAGGGTCAAAGGCTAAAAGGAATAATATGGCAACAAGGGGTCCCATCAGTGGGAGGAGCCATGGTGCCCAATTCCAGAGGTGGGACCACGTGGTCCATGAGTCTGAGAGGTGCTGTCTAATTTCAGAGGCCCTTTCAGTTAGCCGTAGGGCTGTATCATGTACCATTCCCAGCTGGTTGGTGTCGAAGCAACATTCCTCTCCCTGATAGGTGCATAGTCCTCCTCCCTCAGCAGTAATGAGGTCCAGGCCTCACCAATTCTGAAGTGTGACTGCCACAAGAAAGTCTATTTGAGACTGGAGGGTAAGGATAGACCTTGCTATGTCCTCCAGACTGCCTGAGAGGTCCTTAGATAGGGCGTGGTAGTAAGACAAGGAGGTAGACAGCCCTGCTAATCCTGTCCCAGTTGCTACAGCTATTCCCAATCCCACAAGTAAGATTTTAGTTGTATGGTCCATAGAGGTGGGACTTGAGCCTTTTGGAGACTGGAAGACTTTGTCCCCCTGGGGCAATGTAAATTTTGGGGGACAGGAAGACCAGTGTACAGGTACCAGTCCAGTTAGTGGAGACATATAAGTAGGTTGAGGTTCAACATATGAAAAATATGCCTTGGTTATTTAGGCAAAACTGGTGGTGTATACTGAAGAGAGACACTAGTTTGTTATTCTCTTTCCCACATGTTTAGGGTATTGGCCAGTGCAGCTCCAGTAAAGGGGTAGAAAAGGCTGCTTAGGGAGACGAGAGGCCCCCTTAGTCCTATTCTCTCACTGGAGGAAGAATCTTTTGGTGTCAAACAGAATCCATTTGGATGAATGATGGAAGGTTGGCACAAGGAGACATTCGGTTGGAGTGGGAGGTAAGCTACAAGGAGTCCATGGGTGCATAGCTGCACATGGGCTGTGTCTACCATTGCAAAAGCGTGAATTTTTGTTGAGTAGTTTCTCAGGGCTTAGTGTGGCCCCTGTGCTGGGTAATGAGGAAAAGCGAATGCGGCTCCTGAACGGGGCTTCCTGAACAACCTGGAAGCTTGCATAGTCGCAAGGAATTTTACGTTGTAAAGTGTAGTTACACTGGTGAGGCTGCAGCTGCCCTAAGGGTGTGTCTGATGGTTGCACTGGATACAAATGGGGGCCCGGAAGGTTAACTCTGTGCTCGTGGCTATGGGCCTATGCACAGGCTGGCTGTTTGGTGGGCCTGTGAAATTATTTGTGTAGGACCGTAGGAGGCTGAATGGCCATCCTACTAAAGTGGTTTTTGTTGTTTCAGAGACTGGAAACTGGGCTAGGGCTTGTGGGGTCAGAGGCCCTGAAATAGCCTGGCCTTCATATTTATGGTGATGAGACATGCTGGTGGTGACCCAGGCTTTTGTTGGGACTGGGACTGCAGCGCATGCTGCATCAGAGAGAGAGATACATAACAATCTTTGGCTAAGGTTGGATTAGTTCAGTTTAGCAATGAATGAGTTCGCTTGAGGTAGCCTGGGATGGTTGGTAGTAGGGGTGTGCGATGGTACTGGGCTGCCGGAAGGGCAGGATGGGTAGGACAAGTATCCAAGTCATTATGGACAAAGTGGAAAGTGGCATGTTACACTAAGCAGGGACAAGAAATGTCGTCCAGGGGATGGCAGCAGCAATAGCACAGTAACAAACCAGCAAGTATTGCCAGAATAGCACCAAGTATTAAGATTTCAGTCCACATTTACTTATTTGATGAAGATTCCTCAAGCTTCAGCCATGGGTTGACTAGTCAGCCTCCAGTAGTGTGACTAGAGCAAGGCTTGACGAGTTCTCAGGATTCAGCTCGCCGGAGTGTGACTTCCACAGGATGCCAAGGGTCTGGAGCATCAGAGCAGCTCACACTGTCTCTTTTTCTCAGACCCTAGGGTTTAAATGAGGAGTTATTATTTAACAGAGACCAGGGTGCACAGGACAAGCACCTGTATTGAAAGGTGTTGTATCGGCTGGACTCGGTGGCCCACACCTGTAATCCCAGCACTTTTGGTGGCTGAGGTGGGCAAATCACAAGGTCAGGAATTCCAGACCAGGCTAGCCAATATAGTGAAACACCATCTCTACTAAAAATACAAAAGTTAGCTAAGCATAGAGGCACACATCCAGTTCTTGGGAGGCTGAGGCACAAGACTTGCTTGAACCCAGGAGCCAGAGGTTGCAGTGAGCCGAGATTCATGCCATTGAACTCCAGCCTGGTGGACAAAATGAGACTCTGTCTCAAAAAAATAAATAAATAAATAAAAGATGCTGCATCTTAGAACCACAGGGCACTCCCAGTGGTTTCATTCCATCAAATAAATTA